ACTAAGATAAGAAAATATTTTTATAATACATATGTATTATGATATGTGATTACGTATTATTTTACTATTCAGTATTCACGTGAATCCAAAATTTGTCCACAGTTAATATTTAATAATTAATATTCATATTTCATAATTCATTACAGTTACAGATAATTTTGTAGGTCGTATAAGTACCTATTTTTAAACTATGCCGCTGCCGTGGTAATAATAATAATGCCATTTAATACTTGGTTTCATACTAATATAGGTACTAAATTTTTTTTGTTTATAGAAATATTGTATAGATTATACATTTAAAAAAGTGGTTATTTCAAAATAATAATTAAAAAAATACATTTTTAGTTCATAGTACAATTACATCTTACATTAAAATATTTATTTTAAAATCCAGTTTAAACTTAAAATTTTAATTTTTAAAAAATAACTGGAATTTTGTTTTTTGTTATCGCTGTCAAAATCTCAAAATCAGTAGTATTTACCATCTGTCGAAAAAAAATACTGTTAATAATTATAATATTAAGGATTTGTTAATAAAATAAAATTGRTATTTAATACTTACAATATATTTACTTATATCTTGACCAGATTTCCATGTTTTTATAACGTCATCTATTTCAAAATGTAATTCGCAAATTTCTGGAAGTTGGTTTTAATTGACATCCAATCAATTGTTCCCACAGATGCGACAAAGTTTCTTCTTTAGGAACTAAGAAAGTACGTTTATTTTTGTACTGTATTTTTTTAAYATAACGGAACACAGCAAGTCATTTTAAACAAAAATGATGAGTCGATAAATACGAATACCGATTTATAGTTTATAACAATTATTACGAATACCAAATTACTTGTCATTTGAATAAATAAAAAGGCGGTAAGGTATATTATATCCCTTGAATTTCACTTTAAAATTAGTTCTGAATTTTGACACATGGGCGCTAGTGATTAATTATTTACAGTCTGTTTGTAAACCAATCTGAATCTGAAAGCCGTTTATTATAGGACGATGTGCAACCAGCTATATAATATCTTAAATCGTGATGATTATACAGATTTATTTGACAATAAAACTAGTGGTACAATTGTCGGCAGGTGGTGGATAGCAACTACAGCCTATACAGTTGTACTCTTTCCGTTCAGGCATTATGGCAACACTGTAATTTACAGTGAACTCGCAATCTTTCCACCACCGCCGACAACTTACTCTACTCTGTAATAATATTCGGGAACGTTTTGGCTACGCTTTGGTACCACTACCACCCCTCTCTTCATATACCACTCATTCATTCAATACTGATCCACTCCTCCTCTCCCGTGTTCCATTTCCGTCTTTCCGATTGTTTCTTCGTTGTCGAAGCGGATAACGCGTGTGCCGTGTGCCCATATTTTATAATTTTTCGCTTTATTCAAAAATACCAATTACTAGTCCAAATTAACGATGGGCGTCGACGTCACATTCCTAGCCGAAGGAGACGGTAAGACAAGACGTCATGTGATGGCGTCGATCGGTTGGCTGTCGGCTGATGCTAAGAGCGACCGGCCGGCGTCAGTGTTTCACACGTATTTCAAATTTTGCTTTTACTATGTGTCATATATGTCTTGTWAGGCACAACGATGTTGTCACATAGAAATCGTTAAATTTTTATAATACGAGGTGGACGAATGGCGACCGCTTGCTGCTCCTGTCCGACAATCGCACAACTCTGTTATTGATTAYATCGTTTTTTGTTTGTGTTTCACAGGTGCCACTTTCCCGAAACGAGGCCAAACCGTTACCGTGCACTACACAGGTAACGTACTATAAAAATCGTGTAAACAGATTATCTGGCGTCTGGCAATGCCGCCAAAAACTTTCGCACAAAATCAGTATGATTGTGCCCCCGTTTTCGTTATTGTTCTCGCTTAAACGTTAACCAACAACCTGTACTAAATTTAGTTACGTCTCTAATTTCTCTTGTTGTTTTTTTTCCCTAGAAGTTAATAATTAATATTTTACGTTCTACTCTGAAAATGTTTCACTCTGTTACAAATAACTAGGAACCTTACACTATGCATTTCTCTATTTGTGCTTTCCAAATAACKCAATGGTTACTGGGTCCACCACACTTGAAAAATATTTCCAATTTCCATTATTACTTTTTACCTTTTTAGTTGCTTCTTAATTTMTTACTAAAATAATATATTATAGGTACATTAACTGATGGCAAGAAATTTGACTCGTCGCGCGACCGTAATAAGCCTTTCAAATTCAAGATTGGAAAAGGAGAAGTTATCAAAGGTTGGGATGAAGGAGTGGCCCAGGTGAGAAAACATTAAATTAATAATTGTATATAAAATGAATATTTATATAAAAAAAACTAATAGTAATAATTATTATCTAAATAATATTTTTCTCATCTTTAATCATTTTGTTTTTCTAGATGAGCATTGGTTCTCGTGCTAAGCTGACATGTTCTCCAGATTATGCCTATGGAGCCCTGGGACATCCTGGTGTCATTCCTCCAAATGCTACACTGATTTTTGATGTTGAACTCATCAAATGCGAATAAAATTGTTCAAAACACATGCTATAATTACTACTTATATTCTTGAACAAAAAAATGCACCTTCAAGACTGACCAATATGTTTTTCCGTTCAAATAACTTCATTGCTAAATATTATTGTGAATTAGTGTTAAACAATATTATCTTAACAGATTTATTTAGTTACTAAATTGCCAAAATTATGTATAAGTGATTTCTAATTATCAATGAATAATCTATTACTAAATAGAATATTATTGCAATGCGATAAATATATAACTTTTTTTCTTTTAAAACAAACAGAATTATAATTGAAAACATCAATTAATAAACAAAATGTCTATAATTATTATTTTTTTTTTATATGTTATTTGTCGACAATTCGCAAAAATCAATCCACACATTGACTACTTGGTTATTGTTAAGTAATTACTATTATGGGTTGTTACACATCATTGAACCATTRTACATAAAATTGATGAWGATTTTCACCAAAACTTGGAATGTAATTTGTTGGATAATTTGTAACACTTTCAATTGTTATGATAAAGAGTTGTTAATTGGGATTCAGTGCATTAAAAGTTGGTTTTAATGTTTTTTCAACATTATTCAACATAAGTCTATGGGACTAATGGGACTGTTAAACTGTAAAGGGTTTGTAATGTGTATTACGTAAATTATATTTTTAGTATTCGATATTAAAAGCTTTTAATATATTGAAGTACCTAAAAAGGGGTAAGTAGGGTTACCATAACYTATGTCCTGAAATCATACATCATTAATTTATATTGCAATTTACCATATTAAAAATTTTTAGTAGGAAAACAATATTGCTTTTACAAATAAAAGAATAATCAAGTTGATWACATGATTTAGTGACATTTAAAAAATTCTGGACTGATAATTATGTTTATTATTTTCCTGATCCCACAAAATATTTGTTATCACTTATTTCTGATTGATTTTTTTTGTTTAACTTATTTATATATAAGATTATATTACCTAGGTTAATTAGTATGCATAAATRATAAATATATACATTTTGTCAGTTGTAGGTAATACTATTTTCAATGTATGGCATAATTGGTATCCTATTTTTTTTTCAATTATTTATTTTCTTGAATARCAGTCGTTAAAAGTATCATTGTTGAGTAGGTAGGCCAATATGATTTTTTAACTACCTATATAATGTTCATTTTGACGAAATTTGTCAATATTATATCTACGGATGTTAAAACTTTAAGTAAACTGTTATTTTATTTTTAAGTTAGAAAAATAACCAAAATTAATTTTGTCATTTTTGCTTCCAATTTGTCAGATACTGACATATTGTCACATGCTATTAAAATTACYATCTTTATCTTCAAATCATGTGTTGAAGTTCAATGTTTCACAAACTRTTTTTGTTAGATCTTCAGAAAGTTTTTCTGGCATAATTATATCATTAATCTACTTATAATATTCTATTAGATTTTTTTTTAAATATCTAAAACTTTTATTTTCAATTTAGGAATAACTTGATATCTATCWACCATTTCAATTCCATTAAAATTTCATATCTAATCTTAGTTGTTGTAATACATCTATAGAACTTTGACACATATTTTTGTCATGTCAAAGTTAACACTAGATGATTACAAATATTTTGATAAAATAAGAGTGTTTTCAAAATATTTTTCTTTTTAATAATAAATAGAATTAGGAATAATTATTGTACCTATTAACTAATGCAAATATGCAATTATTTATAATCTATTAAAAAATGTTCCTTCGTAGTTTATACCAATTTGATTCTGGTATAATTATTCATAGACCTAGAGGAATTATTATATACTAGCCACAAGATRTTATAACAAAATAAGTCACTAGGTCAGTACGGAATTGATTGCAATGAAAAAGTTTACTGACAGACACTGTGTCAAATCTGCAGGGAACCTCTCTCATTCAAACATCTCTTCATTGTAGGGATTGCAGACAAAGGTTTCAATTGAAAACATCAGTAAAAAATTATTGTATTTATAAATATACTAACATGTATAATTCAATCTTAGAAATTTAACATACTCATTAATATGTAGTTAATATTATAATATTGTTGTAAGCTAACAACTTAAGTTGTGCCAATAAACCAATAAAAATAAAATAAATTGAGTAGGTACCATGAACGATATACCTTATTTTTATTTTTAAGTATAATAAAAATTTTTTTGATGCAATGTAAAATTAATTAATTCATGGTTATAAAATATAAAAATACTTTAATGGTTTATCATTTTTTTGATRGCGTTTCATATCGTCTGCATTTCTCTATTGAATTGTTCTCATTCTTTCTTCCTTTTCTCAATACATGTAAAGCTTCATACAATCCTTGATGATCTGCTTGATTATCTCTTCTAAATAAGTTTTTTACAATATTTATCAATTGTTCTCTATTTGTCCATATTGCGGCCCCTTTAAGTAAAATGCTAGTATAACAAAAAATTGGAAAACAGTTATAATTAGTGTGTAGCTTATTGTTTATTTACCTGCTGATATGCCAATTGAAAACAGAAACATTATAACAGAGGTTTTTGACACAGTCTTGTCCATGTTTGTAAATAAGAATTAAAATTATTTAATAAAATACTATTACACTAACTACATAAAATTGTACAAGAAACAAGAGTATTCAAAGATTAGTAGTTACTATTGTTACTAAGTAGTTTACTTTTACTATCGAACTACAAAGTAACAAATCACGATCTAAGATATACATGTTGCCCATCGACCTATACCGAAATGTTTAAAAGTATGAAGATGAGATTGACTCACAACTGTGGAAAACGACGCTAGCGTCCTCTACTATCACAATTTAAATCTCGAACTAATTATCAGTTTATCACA